AAAAAGGGGGGGAAAAAAAAAAAAAAAAAAAAAAAAAAATGCATCCCTAGTTACATAACCATAATCAAAAGCTGTTTGCAGTGTAGGCAAGTTCTCCCTTTGTCTGGCTGAATTTTACCAATGATGGCTCTTTTACCTTTTTCATTTTCCCTCTATTTTACTCCAATTTGCCTTGCTGCCAGAACTTGCAAAGCAGGAATTAGCAAGTGCTGACTACAAACACTCAAGACAAAAATAATTTTTATGAGGCTTTGTCTTTAGAGCTAAAACTTTCATTTTTACCCTAAAGTAACTTACATGTGTGAACTATGCAGAGATAAAAAAGAAGAAAAAACCACCAAAACATCCATAGCTAGGTGATGGGACTCAATGTAAAACTTATAGATTGAATTTCAGATGCCTGCAGATGGGTGAGATTACCATGAAATAAAAATACTTGAGAGCTTTGTCCTCTCTGTGTATATCCTGGTATAGTTCACACAGGTTAATTACCCTCCTAGGTAATAAAAACATTGCAACCTTCTGGCAGTACAGAAAAGCCCTATGTGAAGACTGCGATTTAAAAAAATGTTACAATTCAACGCTGAACAGCACTGCAGTGAAGCAAATATTATGTTGTGGGAACAAAATTTACAAAGAAAGTACAGTTACAAACTCATTTGCCACACAACTTTAAACGTATTGCTTTCTGCCTAAAACTTTCCCTATTTAGTTTCACCTGAAAGGTAGAGATTTGAGTTTTTGAAATAAGTTAAATAAATATTAAAGAAGCTATCTGGAGCTTAAGAAAGTATTTCCCCCTTAAGAAAAGACGCATTCTCTTTTGGAAAATATAATACAATAAGAAAATCTTCAAACAAGACAAATGCCTACACCTCAGTGCCAGATAAGGTGCTTTGGGTACATCGGGTACTTTCTATAAGACCAACTCAAATAGTTGGAAAAAGTCTTCTTAGCAAGCTTTTGGGTACAAATACCCTTCATCAGGCTGAAGAAACATCAGCAGTTGTGGCACTGTGGCCAAGCCTTAAGACAGAAGCTGATACAAATTCATTATGGGTTTGTTTCCCCCACTCCCCCTCTAGTGTGTGGACACGTGTTGCACTGAACAAGTACCCAAATGACTTCACCTAGTGGCAAGGAGGACTGGGCCTGCAGTGCACCGCCCTACTGTGGAGTAAAGCTCCCACATCCAGGTAGTGGGGAACCAGGATTTTGTAAAGGTGGGTGCGGGACAAGCGATGGGGTGGCGGTACCCTGGGTCCCAGCCTCACCGCTGTACCTAAGAGGGCAGACTGCGCTGCAGGAGCAGCGTCCAGGCACTTTTACTGAGTCCCACAAGCAGGCAAGGATCTCCCCTCTGCGCTCCCTTCCCACCCCTCCATTCACGCCTCCCCTGCCTGCTGCTCCTGCCCCCGGGGGCACAGCGGGGAGGCTCCAGAGCCGCTCCACACCTCTCAGTGAGAGGCAGCAGTGGGTAGGTTTCACCCACTCTGTGCCTGCTCATGGGTTGGCAAGGAAAACCAGGGGGGGCAGTGGGCTGCTAGGATAAACCTGCCTGCCACAACAGCCCCCAGCTGAGCCTCCCCATACCCCAGGACAGCAGCAGGCAAGGGAAGGGAGGGGGAAGAGAGAGAGGTGCCCTGAGCAAGGGGTCTTACCTGGCTCAGGGTCTTTCCAGAGAAGCCCCCCTGCGGCCTGCCCCTGCACCCCGGGGTGAGGCGCAGGGAAGCAGCCCCTGGGGCAGGTCCTCTGCCCTGCTCCCCACAGCACGGTGGACTCCTGGGCGGTGGTCCCGTCCCCCCACCCCGCATGGGGGCGCCCGAGCTCCTCCCACCCCAGCTCAGCCCAGGCGGAAGGAACCAAACGCGCTGGGGGTGGGGAGGCCCGACCGCTCACGCGCACGCGCACTCACTCGTCGTGCCGTAGGGCGCTGGGCTCGCTCAGCGGCGGGGGGCGGCTGTCAGCGTTGCC